GGGCCAACCATAACATTACTAGGATTTCTTCTATTATTTTAGGAATAATGCTTTTAAGAAATATTATTCGATTTGATCTGGCCATCTGGGTGAGCTGAGTGATCTTTGTCACAGATCCTGATAATTTAGTAGATTGGGATCTTAGAGTGAACTTAATATTAATTATAACTTGATTTTTAATTAAAGGCTGAGAAGGCATGGTACATACTACAGAGGCGGATCCAGGATTTGAGGCTTATGGGTTCATACCATAATTTCAAATTAATATGCAATAATAACTGGGTTCACAGTCAGATATTTACCAATATTTACTGAATTTCTTAATTATAAATATAGGGTTTACGCAAAAGTTGCTGGGTTCCCGGGAACCCGTAGTCTATGCACTAGGTCCGCCCCTGACTACATACAGTTGGCCTGGCGAAGCCAAGTTTGTTGAAGGGGGTTTCAATTAGGGTTGTTCATTCGGATCGGATATCCGAAATTCGAACCGATTCATTCAATTTTGGATTTCGAATTTCGGATTGGGTCGGATTATGTTTATTAAAATTTCGGATCGGATTCGGATTGGTATATTCTAATCCGATCCGATCCGAAATCCGAAATTATTAGGGCATGTATAAATACTACACTTTAGTTTCGGATAGTTAGTACTTCCTTTACATCTTCCTCCTAGCTATTACCTTTACAATTGCTAGATCTAGCTATATTGGCACCATAGTACTCTCATAATTGTATTAACATGAATTTTTCTTAATGTATTGCCTCTTTAACAAAGAAATATACATATCAGTTTGCAACTTTGAGGCATAATAATACGATTCGAAATCCGATCCGATCCGATATAATTCGGATCTGATTCGGATTGCATTTTCTAAAATCCGAAATCCGAAATTCGAACCCGAAATGTGCTAAATCCGACCCGATCCGATCCATGCACAACCCTAGTTTCAATCGAATCCCATTCGGAAGAAAATTACACTGAAAAAATAGGATTTTCTTTTGTATATGTACGTATAAATTGTTGAATCCCCTCAACAGTTAAGTGTATTCATCCACTGTGCAACTTTGCATTTTTACGAATCTCCTTATTAGGATTTCTGGCTCTGTCATCGGCGGCAAAGCCACATGGTTACAAGGGTGGTCAGTTGACTACCCTTCGTCGAAAAATTGCTCTGTGTAAAGAGATAAAATATTACGTTTTAGAGGTATATAACACATATTGAACGCCTTTTGTCGGAATTTTTTTCACTTCTTTCAAATTTGATATGTTTGAATAAATTCCTAGCTTTGCCACTTTCTGTCGCTCCGTACATATTAAGAAGGCAGAATACATAAAATACCACCTGAACTTGTACCCAAATCCCTCTTACACACTCGTTGATTACGGGGACATTTTGACACACCTAAACCTTTCAAATGTGTATTTATGACACACCACTTTTGTATTTGACCATTCTTTTCAAATAAGTGTATATCACGAACCAATGAGATGATGACACGTGTACTATTTTAAGAAAAATAAAGAAAACATTTAAAAATACTCCTGTTCTTCTTCTTCCCAAGCACAGACTCCACCGCCGCCCTGCCGTGAACCCCCAGTCACCGAAAATCCCTCTCACTATTTGACAAAGACATGCTTTACATGCTTCATTTTTCATGTGCATCAAAACAGGAAGAAAATTCATCTCTCACCACCCAATTAACTCTCCACCACCATGAAATCCTTACTCAGCCAATGCTCTGCAACCCATCCTCCATAGTCGTCGCTCGACACCACCATACTCCTCTGAAGAAAATATTCCCAAATTGGCGCCTTTCGCCGCCAACTATACTATTAAGCATAAAACTCCCCCACCGACAATTATTCTTCATTACCTATCCTTGAATCCACATCCACTTCCTCCATTCAAATCTATATTTTCGTTCGCAGTCCCTACTTCACCATCATCACATTAATGCTAGAATAAAGTTAAAGGAACCGGCCCATTGCCTCAAGTAAGGGTGTTCATGGTTCGGTTTGGGTCGGTTTTTCCCTAAAAAGAAACCAAATCAAGTAAGTCGGGTTTTCAAATATTAGAACCAAACCAAACCAATTAAGTCGGTTTTTTATCGATTCGGTTTTTGTCGATTTTTTTTGGGTTTTCGGTTTTTTCGGTTATATATCGGTTTTTTTCTTAAATATGAGCACATACACTACCAAACGCATATTCCGGCGACTACATTTTCAACGTAACACTATCAAATCAATTGCTCTTTGAGAAATCTATCATATACCAAGATATATTGATGATAACTGAATCAAATAGTGATGAATAATTTAAGTACTCAATTAAAAATCGATTATTTTTAACATAAAATAAATTATTGTACTTAGAAAAAGAAAACTACCAAGCAAACTAGAATGTAAAGGCAAAGAATAGATGATTATAATAGCAAAGAACTAGACTAAAAATATAAATGACTAATATGTACCATAAAATTTTAGAAGCTTTATATAAAAATATACATATATATATAGGTGTAATAATAAATTTAAATAGCTACTTTTATAGTCGGTTTGGTTCGGGTTTTTTTCGGTTATTTTTTTATTAAAACCAAAACCAAACCAATTTTGATCGGTTTTTAAAATTCAAAAAGCAAAATCAAACCAAACCTAAAAAGTATCGATTTTTTTGGTCGGTTTGGTTCGACTTTTCGAGTTTTTATGAACACCCCTAGCCTCAAGCAGTTAGAATAAACAACAAAAAGATGGTGAAGGTCTAATAAATTTTGGGGCCAAGATCTCTGATCTTTTTAGATTTTTTAAGAGGGGTTTTTGAGAAGAAAGAATGGAAGGAAATATAGGAGAAAATATAGAACAAAAGGGAGAGGATGAAATATTTTCTGGTGGGATTTTGGAGGAAAAAGAAACAGATTTTCGTTTCTCCATTGTTGCTGGAGAGTTGCTTGCTTGTGCTTGACAAAGAAGATGATGATTAAACAAATAAAAAAATAAAGAATAAAAAAGGGACATGTGACATATCAAAATTCAAAATTCACTCGCCTATTTTGTGTGAAAAGCACGCGCATGCCACGTCATAAAAGTAGTGTGTCATAGACACACATCTGAAGGTTTGAGTGTGTAAAAATATTCCTGTATGTAATGGGAATTTGGGGTACAAGTTCGGATGGTATTTTATGTATTCTGCCTATTAAGAAACCAAAAGGTCAGAATAAAGGAATAACCCACGAATTGCAAGACAGAACAAGAATATAGTACTCCATACTTAAAAATTCCTCCGCCCATCCCGAGCGAATGATATTGGAGAGTTGACATGTTAGTGGTAAGACCTCAACCTAATCATTTTGATATGTCTCACTAACAAGTCGTAGATATAAATAAAGCACACAATCCATAATAGTTTGTCCATATCTGAATATAAGAAACATAAATTTCTTAAAGAGATCATACAGTTAAAAGTGAATCCAAAATTTAGAGCGACAGAGTAATGGATGTCATCTCTTGTATGCATAAGTACATAAATATGTGTATCCAGAGACACACTTTTATATATATATATATATGTGTGTGTGTGTGTATTCACTGTTTAGACAAAAAGCAATTAAATCGATTAAACCTTAACTGAAGAACAAGCACGCCTCTGCAATCATTTTTTCTTTATTTACTTTTTGACTTTACCAATTCGTACTGTCTAACATTAGCAAATTATTCACAACATGGGGCATAAGCCATCACAAAGCTACACAAATACCACTTCTTGTACCTCCCGCAAACCTAAGAATACACAAATTCAAGCCCTAAACCTCAACAGTAAGTTGGACCATTATATTCTAACTAAATAAATGTAATGCTTTTATCTGCATTGTGTTAAATTCTCTCGAATGAACCCACCAATAGAGACAAGATTGTTTCCACATGAGCACTTGCTTTGAGAAAGCTATTCAGATGTCCAAGAATTAAAGCTGTATTGTGGTCCGGGCCCGGGCCGAAATGGGCCAAACGGGCATGGGCTTAGGTGGGCCGGACTGAGGCGGTCCCGGGCCAAACGGTCCCGGGCCTAACGGGCCAAATGAGTGGAACCGGCCCACTGCGGTCCTAAGCCCACATGATCCCGGGCTAAATGGGCTGGGCCCGCGGGCCTAAACGGGCTTTTTTGTTCCGGGCTTTTTTTTTTTTATCTAAGGCAATTTCTTGTAAACTATATATGTATATACTAATATAAATTGCTTATATATAGCTATATAAATATATATAGTATATATAGTATGTATAGTATGTATATATAATTATATATTGCCTTATATAATATATAGCTTATATGTGTGTATATATATATATATATATATATATATATATATATTCTTAACGGGTTAATNTATATATATATTATGTAGTATATATATTATGGGGGCCAAATGGCTATTTTTTAAAGTTCCAAACGGCTGAAAATTAAAGTCCAACGGCTAGATTTTAAAAATCTGACCGTTGGCACTTTCTAAATTTTTTTTTTTTTAAAAATAGTCGTTGGGGCCCGTTTGGCCCGGTTGAACCGGCCCAGGCCCGCCTGCCGGTCCCGGGCTATTTGGTCAGGACCGGCCCGCTATGGGCTTTTGCACCACTAAGAGACCGGCCCGTTTGAATCGGACCATTTGGCCCGTTTGGCCCTTTGGCACGCGGGCCCGGGCCGGTGAATTGTGTGAGATCAATTACCAAAAGAAAACAAGAATAATACTTTTTAAAAGACTCACTGAACGCACCTTAAAACTTTGTTGGGGGACATAATCTGATCATATTGATGTATATTGTTCTTACTAGATATGGAAAAAAACATTATTTTGTTAAAAAAGTGGGATGGCACTATCATGGGAAGATTTCACAACATATAATGGATGCAATCATTTTTCCAGTAATAGCATATCCAATAATATGCAACTCTCTCCTGAATCCAGAAAATAATACTACGTGCACTGCAGGTGAATATTCTTGAACAAACTTGACCTTCAGGAAAAATAAATTTATATATTTCCTCAGATCTGAAGTTTACAACTAAACTTGAAACATTTATCAAAATTGCAGATTTTGGCATCTTTTTTTTTTGTTTTTGTTTTTTGCCAGCCATGTGAAGAAGGAAATAATAATTGCATAGTCATCGAACAGACAGCAGCACACCCCAAGTGTTGAGGACTCATGCAATTGCACATACTGCATATATATGGTAGCAGCTTCTTTATGTAATACTTTGACCTAGACACAGATGGATCATTTCCCTTGATGCTTTCGACTAGTATATGATCCAAAGGAACAATCAGAGAAGCCACACTTCAAAAACCTGCCAAGGAGAGAACATATACAACAAAAATAACAACTATGCCTCGGCAAGATATGAATCCTCATTTTCCATGTCACTCCAATTAATTAAACCCCTCTCAAGGAGAGAACATAGAGGTACAAGCTGTGACTTCCAGTTTACCTGATATCCTCCTCTTTGGTTTTAATTCAGGATGACTTCTATCAGTGCTTTCCATGGCAAGAGTCACCCTATAAACACATAACTAAAAAGCACATTGTTATTTCTTAATTTAAACTCTCTGTACCATTAACATTATTATTACAGTTGTAGCAACATCAGGGATTCTAAACAAGCATTTGATTTATAACAAAACGATTATCTTATTGGAGTATCATAACCCAGTGAAGAAGTGGATCACTTAGCTCCTTTTGAGTAATCAAAACCAATGCCTGCCTTGTATGAAAAATGGGATGGGATAGAGGCCAAAATGCTTCATAATCATACAAACTAACGCTAACTAGTGTGTTAAGAAAAAATGAGCCTTGGGCTTAAATCAACCCTAAAAGCTAGCTCATGACGAGTGAAAATTGTCCAATGCCATAATAACCCATATTTCAACCAATGTGAGACTCTCACACCCTCGGCGCTCAAGCCTCAAGGTCGTACATTTAGAGCGTTGATAACATAAGATGGGGGTCCAACATTGAGCAAAAACCTAGAATAGCTAGAGATGAATCTGACTCTAATACCATGTTCGAAACTTGACCTTCAACTTAACTCAAAAAGTTAACTCATGAGGTGAGAATTGCTCAATCCATATAAGGAGATAATAGCCCATTGCCTCCACTAATGTTAAACTCTAAGAAAATGTTAAAACACTAAAAAGATACTTATATATAATATTGATCAAACACTTGTGCAACAATATTCCTGTAAAAGCCAGTGCACCCCAAACCACACAAAAGAAAGGCCCTCTCCTAGTCAAACTCAGGGAGAGAGGAAAAACAAAAGGGGGAAACTTGAGTTAAATGGACACATGACTGAAGTACCAAACAAGACGTTCATATACTTAACGCCCAACTTTTTTGTAGCTACTATCTTTTACTGACAACAAGTTTCATACAGGCTCTAGGGCAAAGAGTTCAAAAATAAGTCTTTCTTTTCCAGGCAACTTCAGAAAGGACAATAAACGATGACTAGAATGCCAAGCACACTCTCGCTTGCATCAGACATCTTAATTTGGGGATACTAATTGGAGAGAAAAGTTATCACACCTAGTAACTTGTCTCTCCATGACCACGACAATCCAGAGAAACAGCTATAGCAGCAACCTCTCACATTTTTCTCTATATGAAAACAGGACAATAGAAGCAATAGTATGACACTCTTCTCCACAACAATGAATGAATCCAACACAACCAAAGCAGAATATCACGAATTAACATAAGCCAATTTCTTGACTTGGTAGTACAAGAAGAATAAGCACAACCCCTTAGGTTTTCTTTTCAGTAGTCCTGGTTCTTCTAGAGGTTATATCTGTTTCACACCAGGAAACTCGCCGACTTAACAGTGTTCCTCCATTAAGATCATTGAGAAATTGATTCAATGGACTTGTTAGTTGAAGAATAATATGAAACAACTCCTATATTATTACGATACTGAAATTTCAGCAGATGTTTTAAAATATTTTCCAACCGCATCTCTTTGAAACTACTCCTTCAGTAGCGCTATCCATTAGGTGAACCTTTTAAACATCTCCCGGGTGGAGGACAGAAATAACATACTGGTTAGCTTTTTATGTCATTTAGTTAGACAATAGACTACAATGATAAAACATATATAGCTATGAGCGCGAACAGTTTAACATCTTAATTGGGATACCTACAATGCATGAGCTTAATAAAATCATAGAGAAAAATTCTAAACAAATTTGTAACACTAGGTCAATTTAGCAAAATAATAAGACATTTTCTCCGCTAGGTTATAGGTTCTCAAAGTGCACATGTTTGATCAAGGCAAAGCAATTATAGATCAAGATCATGTTTACTACAACTTCAAGAACATCCCACAAATATCATGTCAGTAAGCAGTGGAAACTCACTCTGCAAACAAACGCTGCTGCAGCTAAGTCTGAAAGCTAACCAGTTAATAAGCTTAACCTCTCTTGTCCTCCAATGGAAAAAACTTATTTCATGAGACCAAAGTCCATTTGCATTATCAAAGTCAAAATCACTCCGAAGTGTGGCACTGTACCTTTGGCTGAAACCACTTTGTTCTTTCATAAGGCAGTGATCCCTGTGGATATAATTAACCCAAACGAGAGAAGTCTTCCTGAGAGCAGCTTTTACATAATTAGGTGCTGTTTGTTCAACTCATTTTGCAAAACAGTTAGTCAGCATCTTGCAGCATTCAGGAGTGGTCCTATTATAATGCAAAATAGCTTTTCTGATTCTACGGCAACAGTAGAGGCTTAGCAACTTTGTCTGAGCTGCAATATAGAATATGATGCACGATCAATTCCTTGATGATAAGTCTTCTCTGCCAGAAATGAAAATGAAAAAAATGAAGGATACAGGTCAGTCTTGTTCAAAAGATGGGATCATATTGGAAGGATGATTTATAAATCAATAAGGCTGTCAATACATCAAATACTGAAAACTCAAACTCCAAGCAAAATAGCAGCTAAAAAGTTACCACTAGCAGCTGATAGTCTTGCCAACAAGAATTTTCTCCATATCGGCAAATGTCACAACTTTGCCTCTATCATAATATGAATTTTTCTAGCTTCATCAACTATCGCTGTGAGTAAATCGAAGTCCGTGATTGTTCAGCAGCCTGCCTGCATACTTTGACTAGAATCCTATATGAAGATAGAAGTTATTAACTTTGAATCACCGGTGACATGTAAAGATAGAAAATTAACATTCTTAAATGAAATACAAAATTTCATTACAGAAGATATAAAATAAAGTTATACCTGCTATCAGGATAATATTCACGAAAATAATGCCATTGGTAACGTACTAGCTATATGTGAAGAAAGAGAGGGAAGAACAATAGGAGAAAGAACAAGTAGATAAAGTGCACAAGTTGTACTCTCCTTTCAGCCAAAAACCTGTCAATCTAAACTCGTATCCTGGGACAAGAACGAATTTAATGGCCAAGGCATGAGGATAGAGATATCCTGCATGAGTTATAAGTAGATTGTGAAATTCTACAGAACATTTATTCTGGCACCATTGAGAATAATAGGAATATAGGACACCTTCAGATACTTTCAACAAGTCACAAATTTGTAGAATATTCATCATGGAAAAACAAAAGAAACAAAAATGCAACTCTTCTCAGTATCAACATGCAGATTAATGGAAAGACCTGTTTAGTAGAAACGTGTCATGAGAAGCGGATCTTAATGAAGTTATCAACAGTTTCAGGTGAGATTAGATATAAAATGTACTGCATCGATATGGATTATGGAATCACACAGAGCCAAGCGTCGAAGAAAACATGCACAAATAATTCATCCTTAATTTCACTACTGGCTACATTAATCTACATTATAGCCACTTGCTGTTTCCCTTAAAAGCACTGCATCTAACCAAGAATCCCTTGGAAAAAAGTGCTCGTTTAATCACTGTCTTTTACGATCATCACAATTAGTACATCCCTTAATTTTTCAATACTGTGCCCTTTTAGGTCATAGGTGACAATAGTTGACCATCAGAACAATTTCAGATAGTAACTTAGTAGTTGCATTAATCGAACCTCTACATTTAAAATTAAGTGCAATTTTAACCACCAATTCAGATACACACTCTATAAATGTTAAATTTGTGATATGTTGATAGAAACGGAAATAACTTGACAGCCAATAAAGATGAACTGATAACTTAACTTTTAATCAGCAAACTGAAAACCGCAAAATTTCATGTATCTTTCCAATTTTATCAAATACCTCAACGAACAACAAAAATGCAAGTTAGCAGATGTTCTTTAATTACGTTTCCACTATTAGTAAATATAAAGAGGCTTTATTTACTACGAGCAAAAGTAGAGGTCCATTAAGCTTAAGAATCAGGGTACGGAAAGAGCATTTTTCCACAGTACTAGAAACACTGAAACAACAGCAATTTAAGCGATCACAATATAAAACTCAAATACGCTGTAAAAAGACAGTGCAATATTTGCCTTACATAAATTAATGCTTATGCAATTTTCACTGTTGGAGATTTCCGATACAGAGTAGGTATGAGCAGCAGCCGGCGACGGAGATGAGAACGAGATTGGGAACTCCGGCGAAACTGCGGCTAACAGTTTGGAGTGGCGGTTTAAATCGGGTCTTGGTTCGGGTTGGGTAGTTATGGCGGAAGAAGAGAGAACTTTTTGTGTATCAGATATGACATTTCATGGCTACATTTATACTATTACATAGAAGGTTACAAAATGATTGCCTTAAATATGACATTAATAAAGTAGTGGGAGTAGTGGACATCCGCATTTACTAAAGATTTTATAACACTCCCCTTGGATGTCCAAAAATATGCCTCGTTAAAACCTTACTAAGAAAAATCCCTGTGGGAAAAAACTTTTAGTTAAGAAAAAAGAGTACACATATCTATAATACGCTTTATTTGCTGCCTCGTTAAAAACCTTACCAGAAAAATCCAGTGGGACAAAATCTAGGCTAAGGGAAAAAGAGTACAGCGCGTATCTTACTCTCCCTCATGAAAACATCACTTTATTTCTCGAAGATGCCGCATACCAATCTTCTGCCTCAACTTCTCAAATGTTGAGGTTGGTAATGCCTTAGTGAACACATCATCCAATTTTTCACATGAACGAATCTGTTGAACATTAATTTCACCATTTTGTTGAAGATCATGCGTGAAAAAGAACTTTGGTGAAATGTGCTTTGTTCTGTCTCCTTTGATGTATCCTTCTTTTAGTTGAGCAATACAAGCAGCATTGTCATCATATAGCGTAGATGCATTATCCTTTTTCATAATTAAACCACACATTTCCTGAATATGTTGAGTCATTGATCTCAACCAAACACATTCCCGACTAGCTGCATGAATGGCTATTATCTTAACATGATTTGAAGATGTGGCAGCTATTGTTTGTTTCATTGAGCGCCATGATATAGCTGTACCTCCATATGTAAACAAATATCCTGTTTGAGATCGAGCTTTATGAGGATCAGACAAATAACCTGCATCGGCATAACCAATCATTTCTGACTTGAATGCATTAGAATAAAAAAATCCCATATCTATAGTTCCTCGAAGATATCTAAATATATGCTTAACACCATTCCAATGTCTTCTTGTTGGGGAGGAGCTGAATCTTGCTAATAAGCTTACAGCAAAAGCAATATCTGGTCGGGTATTGTTGGCAAGATACATCAGTGCCCCAATTGCACTAAGATATGGAGTTTCATCACCAACGAGCTCTTCATCATTTTCTTGAGGTCGAAAATGGATCTTTATTTATGTCAAGTGATCTCACAACCATTGGGGTACTCAATGGATGTGCATTATCAATGTAAAATCGCTTTAAACCTTTTCAGTGTACATTGATTGATGGACAAAAATTCCATTTGGTACATGCTCAATTTGTAGACCAAGTTAAAATTTTGTCTTACCAAGATCTTTCGTTTTAAATTCTTTATTCAAACATTCTACAGCCTTTGGAAGCTCTTTAGAAGTGCCAATGATATTCAAATCATCAACATACACAGCTATGATGACAAATTCAGATCCAGATCTCTTAATAAAGACATAAGGGCAAATAGGGTTATTTTTGTACCCTTCCTTTAGCAAATACTCGTTAAGGCGATTGTACCACATCCTCCCTGATTGCTTCAATCCGATAAGGATTTTTGAAGCTTTATTGAACAAGTTTCTCGTGACTTTTATGTGCTTCAGGAACTTTAAATCCTTCAGGGATTTTCATAAAAATTTCATTGTCTAGTGAGCCATATAAGTAGGCTGTGACAATATCCATCAACCGCATATCAAGCTTTTCATGAACTGCCAGATTTATTAGATACCTGAAGGTAATTGCATCTACCACAGGAGAATATGTCTCCATATAATCAATGCCAAGCCTCTGCGAAAACCCTTGTGCCACAAGTCGTGCTTTATATCTTACGACTTCACCTTTCTCATTTTGTTTTCGTACAAAAACCCATTTGTACCCCCACTGGCTTGACACCTTCAGGCGTTCAGACTATTGGTCCGAAAATTTCACGTTTTTCGAGTGACGCCAATTCCCCTTGAATTGTATTTTTCCATTTTGGCCAATCATTTCTCTGTCTACATTCATCGACAGATTTTGGCTCAAGATCCTCATCTTGTTGCATTACTTCAACTGCAACGTTATATGCAAAATTACTGTCAACAACAACATTATTCTGGTTCCACCTTTTTCCCGTAGAGACATAACTTATTGAGATCTCTTCATTTTCATTATTTTCAGGTACTAGAACCTCCTGTGAGGTCTTATCAATTATTATGTCTTTATGCTCCTCTTGAGCAATTGCCTCCATGTTATGTTCAACTTGATCATTTGCTCCTTTCCTTTTTCAGGGATTCTTATCCTTGGAACCAATTGGTCTACCACGTTTAAGGCGTGGCCTAGACTCATTTGCATTATCATACTGTCCAGCTGGGACATCAACTCGAATTGGAGCATTTACAACTGGAATATGCAATTTAGTAACCCGTGGAAGGTTAGTAAATGCATCTGCCAATTGATTTGCAACATTTTGCATATAAATGATCTTTTGAACTTCTTGTTCACATTGATTTGTACGAGGATCCAAATGAGATAGATATAATATGTTCCAATCTATCTCTTTTTCCAGCTGTTTATTTTCTCCCCCTAATGTTGGAAAAACTGATTCATCAAAATGACAATCAGCAAATCTGGTTGTAAACAAATCTCCTGTCATAGGCTCCAGATATTTAATAATAGAAGGAGATTCATAACCAACATATACTCCCAACCTTCTTTGGGGACCCATCTTTGTGCGTTGTGGTGGAGCAATTGGAACATATACCGCACATCCAAAAATTCTTAGATGGAAAATATTTGTCTCCTGACCAAAAGCCAACTGTAATGGGGAGACTTCATGATAACTGGTTGGCCTTATGCGCATAAGTGCTACCGCATGCAAAATAGCATGTCCCCACACTGAAAGGGAAAGTTTTGTCCTCATTAGCAGTGGTCTAGCTATTAATTGGAGGCGTTTAATCAATGATTCTGCTAGACCATTTTGAGTATGAACATGAGCAACCGGATACTCAAGTTTTATTCCAGTGGTCATACAATAATCAGTAAAGGCCTGAGATGTAAATTCACCAGCATTATCAAGACGAATTATCTTAATTGCATAATCTGAAAATTATGCTCCTAACCTTATTATTTGCGCCAACAATCTCGCAAATGCCATATTACGAGTTAACAATAAGCACACATGTGACCATCTTGTAGATGCGTCTATCAAGACCATAAAATACTTGAATGGTCCACATGGAGGGTGTATAGGCCCACATATATCACCCTGTATACGTTCCAGAAATGCAGGGGATTCAATCCCAACTTTAGCTGCTGATGGTTTAATAACCAATTTTCCTTGAGAACAAGTAGCACAAGAGAATTCCTTAAATTGAAGAATCTTCTTGTTCAATGTGTGCCCATTTGAATTCTCTATTATTCTGCGCATCATGTTAGAACCGAGATGGCCCAACCGGTCATGACAAATAATAAAATCATTAGAAGTAGTAAACCTTTTGTTTACTATGGCATGTGATTCAACAACACCAATGTTTGTGTGGTACAACCCATAAGAAAATGCGGGTAATTTTTCGTGCACATATTTTTTCCTCGCTTTTATTGTAGTAATATAAATGTATTCAACCTTTCCTCCATTTGATGTCACAACATGGTAGCCATTTTAGCGAATAGCTTTGAAACTCAACAAGTTTCTTTGAAACTTACTACAATACAATGCATTATCAATAGTTAATATCGTTCCTCCAGGTAGTAATAAGGCCGCTCTGCCAGAGCCCTCAATTAACTTTGTACTACCAAATATTGTATTAACGTAGGCCTTTTTTATAACCAAATAAGAGAAAAATTTCTTTTCTCTTAATATTGTGTGAGTTGTAGCACTATCCAAAAGGCATAAATCTTCATTACTCATCTTGGATCCAATTGAAGACTGGGGAATTTTATTTTCTTCATAAAAAAATAGAAGTACACCATGAGAAATACGAAAAAACTAACAACACCCAACAACAACATAAGACAACTTAAGTACTACTTGAAAATAAAAACTTTAGAATGAGATAAAAAAATACTGAAAATAAAAATAACAACATAATTGCATTCCCCAGTAAAATGATCAAACTTTAGTTTTGATCTCCAAAGAAGTCTTCAACTTCCAAATGAGTAAGATCATCGAGGCCTTGAAAATCATCATCATTCAAAGCAAGATTTGCCTCGGCATTGTCATCATTTTTGTTTGAAGGCCCTGCCTCAAAATTATTTTTAAAGGTCAAGTGAGACTCCACTGGGGCATTAGCAGAAGATGCTCCAACATTATTTGCCTTACTTTTGATGGAGTTTTGATAAATCCTAACAAAATGCTTAGGTGCACGGCATTCAATTTTCCAATGACCTTTCATGCCACAGCGGTGGCAGTTACCGCTTTTGCCTCTTGAAGGATTGTTTTGAGAACCCGTATTGTTCTCTCGTTTGCCATGACCACCATGATGACGATTATTATATCGTTTCTTACCATTGCCATGCCCACGTACATTCATATGGCCATGATTATTATTCTATCTTTTTTCAAACTTATCACGTCTAGCTTCCATATTTGCTTCAGGAAGCGGAGCTGACCCTGTGGGATGGGCTTCATAATTTTTCAGCAAAAGGGTATTATGTTGCTCAGCCACCAGAAGGCATGAGATCAATTCAGAATACTTTTTAAAACCCGTTTCACGGTATTGCTACTGTAATACCATATTTGAGGCATGAAAAGTCGTAAGAGTCTTTTCCAACAAATCCTCATCATTCATAACATCCCCACATAATTTCAATTGGGAAGTTATTCGAAATAACAGAGTTATACTCACTTACGGTCTTAAAATCTTGCAACCATAAGTGCATCCGCTCATATCGAGCCCTTGGAAATACTGTAGCCTTAAGGTGATCATATCTTTCCTTCAGGCCAGTCCACAATTCAAGTGGATCTTTCACTGTCAAATATTCAACCTTCAAACCTTCATCCAAATGATGACGAAGGAAAATCATGGCCTTCGCTTTGTCCTGGCTTGATGCCTCATTAGCTTGAGTAATGGTGTCACCAAGGCCTTTAGCGGCTAAGTGAATCTCAGCATCGAGAACCCATGATAAATAATTCTTTCCAGAAATGTCAAGTGCCACAAACTCAAGCTTTGACAAATTTGACATAGTGAAAACCTTTTGGATGAAGAATTGCACTTAACTTTGGAGAAGGCACGTGTTAAAAAATGTAGCTCAAAGTAACAATATAGAACAAGAAGATAAGTAGAATAAAAGAAGAAGAGATAAGTAGAATAAAAGAAGAAGAGATAACTTTCTTATTTCATCAAGTGTTCAAGTGTGTACAATGTGATGTCCAAACTCTCTATTTATAGGATGACATTGAGGTAATACAAAGGGATGTCATGAACATGGTATTAAATATTGAGAACATGAGAGAAGATCATGGGAAGGTTATGGAGGTGTGGGAGTTACAACTATAATGGTGAGAAGTAGTGGAGATTATCTACATAATGGAGAAGAGTAGTGGGAGTTATATTTGATTAGTGGACGTCCATATAATATGTATTTCATAACATTCCCCCTTGGATGTCCACAAATCTGTGCCTCGTTAAAACCTTACTAAGAAAAAACCCTGTGGGAAAAAATCCTAGTGAAGGAAAAAGAGTACACATATCTTGTAATACGCATTATTTGCTGCCTCATTAAAAACCTTGCAAGAAAAATCCAGTGGGATAAAATCTTATCTAAGGGAAAAAGAGTACAACGCGTATTTGCCTCCCCCTGATGAAAACATCAATTTGTTTCTCCGAGATGACGTGTTCCGATCTTGTATATCAACTTCTCAAATGTTGATGTTGCTCATGCTTCACTGAAAAGAACACCAAATTATCAAGCGAATAATTTGTTGAACATCTATTTCACCGTACGGTGAAGATTGTGTCTGATAAAGAACTTTGATGAAATATATGCTTTATTCTGTCTCCTTCAATATATCTTTCTTTCAATTGAGATAAGTAATCATCATCGTCTTCACTATTATTGGAATCTTTTTCTTCAAAGAAAAGTCACATATTTGTTGTGTGTTGAGTCACTTGCTTTATCAGTTGCTAGTATATTGACATGACTTGAATAATTACAACAATTGACTGCCTTGTGAAATAATAATATGGCAGTACTCTCATGTACAAATAGATTGTCTGACGAACGAACTTCAGAAAATGCCTGCATTTGCATAACCAACAAAACCTTGACAATATTTGTTAGAATAAGCAAATCTATATCAAGGATTCCTTTTGCAATATAATACGAATAGTATACCAATATCTTAATATAGGAATAAAACTTTATCTCGCTAGCATATTGTTATATTCAATATTACTTTATATGTTATGAAACATTAGATTATGGTGGATGTTTGTAACGACCCGGACGGTCATTTCATGAATTACCGCCCCGTTCTCCCCATTTCTGCTTCTTGTTGCTTTGTTCATCTGTATTATGTGTGATCGGGTTTGTTGGCTTGGGTTCGGAGAGGTTTTGGTAAGGTTTGAGACACTTAGTCTCTTTTAAGAAAGCTTAAGTTGGAAAAGTCAACCGGATGTTGACATATGTGAAATGGGGCTCGGATGTGAATTCCAATGATTCGGATAGCTTCGGGAGGTGAGTTGGGAGATAGGAGCATGATCGGAATGTGTTTTAGAGGTCCGGAGTAGATTTAGGCTTGAATTGGCGAAATTGGAATTTTGGCATTTTTCCAGTTGATAGGTGAGATTTTGATATAGGGGTCGGAGTGGAATTCCGTAGTTGCAGTAGGTCCGTTGTGTCATTTGGGACGTGTGTGCAAAATTTTAGCTCATTCGGACGTGGTTTGATAAACTCTTTGATCGAAAGCGGAATTTGGATGTTTTTAGAACTTTAGGCTTGAATTCGATGTGATTTGGTGGATTCAACATTGTTTGAGGTGTTTTAAAGATTGGTACAAGTTTGTAGAGTGGTATGTGACTTGTTGGTGCTTTTGGTTGAGGTCCCGTAGGCCCCAAGGTGATTTCGGGTGGTTGACGGAAATATAGGAGTTTGAAAATGGCAGCTGAAGTGTTGAGACTGCTGTCATAATCGCATCCGCGGTTGAAGGAACGCAGGTGCGACAACCGCAGATGTGGAAGATCAGTCGCAGAAGCGGAAGGAGACAAGGGAGGCAGGAACCGCAGGAGCGGTTAAGGAACCGCACCTGCGATGGTGCAGGTGCGGGTGATGCATCGTAGATGCGGAAATTGAACGTTTTAGTGGGGATCGCAGAAGTGGCGCATGGGACCGCAGAAGCGGTTGCGCAGGAGCGAGTAAAGGACCGCAGGTGCGGAATCCCTAGGTCAGAATGTATATAATTTTTCCTTCGCGATTTTCAGAGTTTCCACCTTTTTTAAACACGATTTCTGGAGCTTTTGGGCGATTTTGAAGAGGGAATTCAGGAGACTTCATTGAGGTAAGGTTTTGGATCATAAAAACTCGTCCTTATGGTATTATTTCACGGATTAGACTGGAAATTTGTGGAAAAATTAGGTAAATATGGAGGAAACTAGGGCTTGGGAACTTAGGTCTTTGATTAAGGATTTAAAGGGCCATTTGTGGTCGGATTTTAGAACTTTTGATATGTATGAACTCGTGGGAGGATAAGGAGTCTAATGATGTAAAATTTATTGAATTTTAAGACGTGGGTTCGGGGGTCGGGTTCGGTTAATTTCGGGATTCGCGTTGTTTTTCGATTGTTTTCGAGTGGTCTTTGTACCCTTAGCATATTTTGATGGTTATGTACTGATTTTGTCTAGATTTGGAGCATCCGGAGGCTGATTCGAGGGGCAAAGGCATTGCGAGCTAGAGTTTGGGCCGGATTGAGGTGAGTAATGATCGTAAATGTTGTCCTGAGGGTATGAAACCCCGGATTACACATCATTGTGATATGTTGAGGTGATGCACACGCTAGATGACGAGCGTGGGGTCGTGCACCGTTAGGGATTGTGACTTAGTCCATCCCGAATGACTAGTTTACCGCGTATTTGTTTGAAAACTGTTTGCTATCATCATGCTTTGGGCTGAATGCCATATTTGGGCTTTGTGCCAATTGTTTGGACCCTTAGGGAATTTTTACTGCTATTTCCTCACTGTTTTGAATTTATATCTGTGCTCGGTCATGCTATATTATACTGTTTTCATAACTCAGCCATGTTTACTCTGTTTTAACACTTTAAATGATATTTTGGGCTGAGCATTGTATCTTACTGTGCCCGAGTGGCTTTTAGAGCTTTCTGACTGAGTAGGGCCGAGGGCCTTTGTTGTGAGGATCATTATGGGGATAGGGTTGCACGCCACAGCAGTATTGTACTGATTATGATTTTGAGGCTGAGGGCCTGAGATGTACACCACGAGGTGGCTTGATATGAGGCCGAGAGCCTGTTGATTATGCCACGAGATGGCTTGATATTGCACTTGGGCCGTAAGGGGCCCCTTCCGGAGTCTGTACACCCCCAATGAGCGCGGGTACCCATTGTGATATGAGATATAGCCCGAGGGGCTGGTGTTGTTCCTTGTTATTGCCCGACGGGCTGATTCTGTTGACATTGTGCCCGAGGGGCGGATTTTATGTGTTTATCCTTTCTAGCTGCCTTTTATTTACTTGTTTAACAGTTAAAAAGGTGTTTCAAAGAAGCTTGTTCTAAACTAAGGTGTTGTATGAGATTTCACTATTTAAATGTACCTTATTGACTTTACTCTGCCTCTTTATATCATGTAGTTGTGATTTTACGTGATTTCTTACCGCTCAGTCTTCATTTATTATTATTACTCACTGAGTTGGAATACTCACTTTACTCCCTGCACCCTGTGTATAGATTCAGGCGTTTCAGGTCCTGCTAGCGAGGGTTGATAGCTTCCAGCAGATTTTCCGGAGTCCACTAGGTAGCTGCTTGGTTTTCGCAGCCCAGTGTTTCTCCCTCTTATCATTATTTCTTTCCCTCGTACTGGATTTCGTAATAGACTGTGTAGTCCCTTTCCACATTTCGAGACTTATGTTAGATGCTCATGACTGGTGACACCCCGATATCGGGCTGTGTTGGTTTTTCTTCCGCAAATTGTACTATTTCTCTTCTATTTTGGGTGTATTAGCATGTTAATGACTTAAATTGTGTTATTATAATTGTTTAAAATGAATTGGGAGTTGTGTTGGCTGGCCTTGTCTTCACGAGAGGTGCCATCATGACCGGGTCTGGGTTTAGGGTCGTGACAAGTTGGTATCAGAGCCTAGGTTACATAGGTCTCATGAGTCATGAGCAGGTTTAGTAGAGTCTCGCGGATCGGTACGCAGGCGTCTGTATTTATCCTCGAGAGGCTGCAGAACCTTTAGGAAAAACTTCATATTCTTGAAATTCTTGCCGTGCGAATCTGTTGATCCGAGTACTAAACTTCTGTTATTCCATTCTCTCACAGATGGTGAGGACACGAGCGACCGGTCAGGATGGACGACCACCAGTACCACCAGCTGGGGCCCACTAGAGGCTGAGGATGCGGTCGAGGCCGTGGTAGAGGCAGAGGTGTAGCCCGCAAAATACCTGGGGCAGCACCTGCAGATCCACCAGCCGCCCCAGTTCAGGATCAGGTCCCAGTTGTAGGCGCTCCAGCAGTACCAGCTCAGGCACCAGCTGTGCCCATTGTGATTCCAGGTCTTCAGGAGACCTTGGCCCAGATCTTGACAGTGTGTACGAGTCTGGCTCAGGCGGTCGCGATTTCTACTACCGTAGCCACTTCTCAGGCCGGGGGAGGCACTCAGACTCCCGCCGCCCGCACACCCGATCAGGTGGTCAGGGGTTGCAGACACCGGAGGCACCATTAGCCCAACCGGTGGCAGTTGCTCAGGGTTACGTAGCTCCAGTTATGCCAGAGGACGAGCAGCGCAGATTGGAGAGGTTTGGCAGACTCCAGCCTCCTACTTTCAGTGGTACAGAGGGCGAGGATGCCCAGGGTTTCTTGGATAGATGTCAGAGGATTCTTCGCACCGCGGGTATTCTGGAGACCAGCGGGGTCGCATTCACGACTTTTCAGTTTACGGGAGCTGCCTTCACTTGGTGGGAGGCATATGAGAGGCGTAGGCCTGCTGGTGCGGCACCTCTTACTTGGCA